CCCCCAAAATTTCCTCAAAACCCCCCAAAATTCCCCCAAAAAATCCTCCCCAAAATTCCCCAAAATCTCCCAAAATTCCCCCAAAAAATCTCTCCCAAAATCCCGCCAATTAATTAGCATATTATGCATTTATACAAATATAATTATTTTAAAAAGTATATTAATAATTATTAGTACATTACAATTTATAACTAATATTTAAAAGAAATGAATACAATAAATTAATATAAAACATATTAACAGGAAATATAAGTAAGGAATATGAATATTAAAATATATTAATACTAAAATAGATTAATATTAAAATCGGCTCATTAAATATATGAATATAAAACATATCAATATTCAAATCTTGCTATTAAAATATATTAATATTAAAATATAGCAATAAAAATATGAATCTAAAATACATTTTTACAGAATAAATTCATTTCAAATCAACTTTCCCACCGCCTCATTTACATGTAATTACAATAAATTTAATTAATTACAGCGTCGAACGTACCGCTCATACAGGGCTAATATTCCCCTATTAATTAATTAATTAATTAATTAATTAATTAATTGGCACGCAATAATTCCACTGTTGTCCACGTGTCCATTCTCCGGCCCATCGCCAATTAACGCGGTGATTAATTAATGAATGGGTTCATTATTGATTAATGAACGGATTAATCATTGATTAATTCCGGGATTAATTATTGATTAATGAAGGGATTAATTATTGATTAATTCAGGGATTAATTGCGGGCGGCGCCGCTTTTCGGAGCATTACGGGAGGAGGGCGCCTCTACTGCGGTAATTACGGGAGCGGCACCGCCGTAATTACGGGAGGGGAGCGCCCCCAAAAATCCCCAAAAACTCCGAAAAATCCCAAAAAAATCCCAAAAAAATCCCCAAAAATTCCAAAAAATCCCAAAAAATTAAAAAAATCCCAAAAAACCTTGAAACTAACCCAAAAAAAACCTTAATAATCCAGAAATACCCTCCCAAAATCCCAAAACCCCCCAAATTCCCAAAAAAAACCCCAAAATCCCAAAAAAACCCCAAATCCCCCCAAAAAAGACAAACCCCCCCCCAAAATTCCAAAAATCAAAAAAAGAACCCCAAAATCCCCAAGAAAACCCCCAAAAAATCCCAAAAAACCCCAAAACCTCAAAAAAACTCCACCAAAAAAACCCAAAAAACCCAAATCCCCCTCAAAAAAATCCCCAAAACCCCTAAAATTACAAAAATTTCCAAAAAAAAACAAAACTCCCAAAAATAAAAAAAAAAAACCCCCCAAACCCCCCAAATAAAAAAAAAATTTCCCCAAATCCCCCCAAAAAAACCCCAAATCTCTCCCAAAAAACCCAAAAAA